AATTGTCTTCCAGTGTTAGTGTTGGTCCTCAAAGTCCTTATAAGTGCTTCATTTCCACAATCACAACATTACATTTGGTAGATTTTACGTAGTATATATATCATGGGTTTTGAGAAATTAAAAACGATCTTTATAAAACTATTTTAAAAACGGAAACGGAAGAATAAAAATAACTAGCTTATTTTTATGACCATTTTAAGAAAAACACAAGAGAATACAAATACATTAACTAGAAAGATTATGACAATCGTAGAATGTCTAGAACTACAACTTCTGAAGACTTTGGTTCCACTTAGTCTTGGGTAGTTGATGACAATGGAAAAAAGTCAAGGATAGAGTTTCTTTATAATGTATACACCAACAAGAGTAAGCCACCAAGAATGCTAGTTCTCTCTTATATGAAGTAATTCTTAAGCATTTAAGTGCTTAACATAATTAAGCACTAAATGAGAAGCACTTCTAAGCATCAAAAGAGAGGTAGAAGAGAATGAGCTAGGGAGCTCTCGACTTTAGCAATAACAATAGAAAAAGAGATTAATCAACTAGCTTCAAATCAAAGCCTTACTCTCCTTTTTATACTTGCACTTTGAGATCCCAAAACCATTCTTTAAATGCAAAGGTATGAGACTTATAAGCATTTTATATGTAAGAATAAAGTGAAACAAGAAACATACCATCTATTTTAACGATGGTGGTGGTTGAAGTTAGTCATGGTGGGGCCAAGGAGAGTCTTACACTCCTTCTTAATATAATATATATGTACATGTTAATGGCTCGTGATATCCAATATGCCTAAAAACTTGTACATGACATATTATATCATACAATATGATATAATAACTAGTTCTAACCCCTAGACATATTATTTTCATAAATTTTTTCTTAATTAAATACAAGAGTTGATTATCTATTAATAATCATATTTATAATAAATATCTAGTAAGTGACAATTTGCTAATGATGTGACCCTATAGGATCATATGTACTTGGTAATATACTTTATCACTTTGCGTCACTCAAAGTCCATCAAAGAGTTCAATCATGCAAGATAACTCTAGATCCATAGAGAAAACATGAAAAGTTCGATTAAATATCCTTACAAATGATCCAGCAAGATGATTCCAGAGATGAAGAGTGTTGTGTGCTTGCTTCTTGCACTCAATCTTCTTCTACTTCCTTCAAAATCACCAAAGAGGCTTGAAAATGAGCTCAAAATCTTCAAGGTGGGTTAGGGTTAGGTTTATGGGGCTTGAGACTGATGAAGGCTAAAGATGACCAACCCTAGCCTCCGCACTTTCCTTTAAATACCCAAAAATAGGGTTTTCATGTTATAGGGTCGCCACGTCATGTCCAATAGATGCCACATCGTGGGGATCATTAAATGATCTGCAAAACTTCCAACATCGCCACGTAGTGGGATGCCTTCACCACGACGTAGTCACTCCCACAATCCAAAATACATTAAAATTAAATACCTCCAAGAATCCATATGTTACAAGTGTTAAGCCAAAAGTAACTAGATAGAAGTGTGGGTCTCATCAATACCTTTCCGTGGATATAAAGATCGCCAAAAATGGTTTTGGGAGATAACCCTCACCAGGGAGTGGGGATCAGATCCCACGGTGTGGCGATCAGTCATCACCTCTAGAACCCCTTGGGAGAAACCCTAGCCTCCACCTTCAAGATTTGAGCTTCTCCTCTCTCCTTCCTCCTCTTTTGGATGCTTTTTATGTTATTTTGATGGAGCTTAAAGATCAAGAAGGTTATTTTGGTTGAAAGGAATGATGCTTCAACTTTGGATCCAACAAAGATACTACATATTTCTGGAACATTGTGAGTATATATTTCTAATCTTGCTATCAAGTTGATTAGATCTTGTCATTTGAGTTTTTTGCAATTTTGGTCCATTTTATAAGTAATCTTTTAATAGAGTGGACCCCAACATATTTTGATCAATTCAGAATGTTTCCTGGATCCCATGGACTAGGAAACTTATGATCTTTGCCTTCCCTTTTAGCCATGAAAGTTATCTTGGTCCTTTAGACCATTTTGGTGTATTAAAGTTTAGATCTTGAAAGATTGTGGTATTATTATGGATAAAGTTGGAAACTTTATCCATCTAGACATCTTGTTGATTCAGATCTAAAAGTTGGAGACTTGGACTTAATGGATTAAGTTGAGAAAGATGCATTTTGGTTCCTTTTGAGACTTAAAGTTTAGGTATTGGTTGTTTGGACCTGCCTAATTGATAAAGTAAGAAACTTTATCCATTAAGACCTTAGAAAGGATCAGATCTGAGCATTGGAGCTCTTGAAATCAGAAGATAATAGATTAAGCTCGTTTGAGCTGTCCAGACTAGTCCCCACAGCGTAGCGACTGGGGAATCATCGACTGTTTTGGCATTTTGTGCCCACGACGTGGCCAAGGAAGGCCCATTTTAGTAGGATTGAGCATTTGGCTAAGGATTGGTTTCGGTTTGGCTTTAGGAAGATTGGGTTGGATGTTATGTTGTTGAGGTAGCTGTTGGGCTTCTATTGAATAGCTCTGGTGAGTCTCTTCACTGTACCCGTGGGTCGAAGACACCAATGCCGGCCCATTGAATTATGTTTGTAGGGTGATAATTGTCTTTATGACACTTGTTGGTATGTTTGTTGTCTATGTAACCCTTTCTTATATGATTGTATGCTTAGTTGTAGGGGTGAATAGACCCAGGATCGGTTGAAAGATACCGAAGGAGTTGAAATAGACTCAGGGGTAATATAGACCCATTTTAGTTTCGAGCTGTTATGTATGTTTAGTATGTTGTACTTTGGGGAACTCGCTAAGGTTTGTGCTAACGGTTTATGTTTTAAATGTTTTTAGGTACTACTGGTTCAAAAGAAAGGGTCCGGCTTGATCGTACTGCATCCCCTGAAGATTTATTCCGCATTTACTATTTATTATTTTACTCTGATGTTTTGAGAATACTTTTATGATGATCGTCTTTTGGGATAATGAATGAATGGTTTTGACTTATAAAATGAAACTTTTACTCGTTATTTTTGGGACGTTACATTAATTATTCAAAGATTTTCTAATTAACTTAAACTCAATAAATAAGATTACAACAATATGAAAATCACTTGTAATAGTCGTTCTAGTATAACGATGGTTGCTCCAATATCTGTAAATGAAGATATTGTTGCCTTGATCTTTGTAATAGAAGACATTGTTGTTGCGCATAAAGTTCTATTGAAAAAGAATATAAAACTATATAAAATCTACATATGAATTTTATTTTGTTATCTGGATGATAATGTTAGTATATTCTTGAAATTAAGAAACATAACCTACATTGCACTCAGCCAGTGTGCACTATGCATTTGACATTAAAAAACCATGTGAAAAAAATATATGCATCAATCCAATGCATATGTTTACTTGAAGAAAAAAAAGTTTATAACTTTAATGTTCAATCATGCATATTATTTAATTAACGTTAAGAAACTTGTTAATTAGTTATATCAAATACTCTAGGTAATTATATAATATGTCATATGCTTAAATCAATTACGAAATCCTAGTTACGAATTTCCAGTGAACCGATACACTGTAAATTAAACTAATGCAACTATGCATAGAACATATGCACATGTTACAAACTAATGGATAATATTATTAGTATATTCTTTAAATTAAGAAACTTGACCTACATTGCACTCGGTCATTGTGCATTGTGCATTTGACATTAAGAAACCACATGAAAAAAGCATATGCATCAATCTAATGCATATGTTTACTTAAAAAAATTATAACTTTAATGTTCATTCATACGCATTATGCATTTGACATTAAGAAACTTGTTAATTAGTTATATCAAATACTAATAAAGTAATTATATAATATGTCATATACTTAAATCAATTATCAAATCCTAGTTACTAATTTACTGTGAACCAATGCACTGTATATTGAACTAATACAACTATGCATAGAACATATGCATTGTTACACATTATGAATACAATATAATAACATTAAAGTTCAGAGAAATGTAATTGCAATTCACTTGATTACATGCAGTCATAATTTAGTAGAATTGAATAAGACTATCCCAATTGATTATCTGTAGCCGCAAATGCATTAGATTCGAAAAAAGGATGCATTGTTTCTCTTTATGTAAAACATGAAAATCAATCAGTTGCTCCTCTCTTCGTAAAACATTTAAAAACAATCAATCCAGAAAGAATTCTTCAAATAATTTCTAATAAATTACGTATATTGTTAATTTCAGTTGAATCGATTGTTGCACTAATCTCTATATTTGTCAATTAAGTAGAATCGATCTTTGCAAAAAGATGAAAATTTATTAATCAAACGATTTTCAATTGAATTGATTGTTGTTTCAAACATTTACTAGTCGTTTCAATTGAATTGACCATTGTTCCAAAGTTCATTGTTAATAAGTTCGTTGGTCCGCTCTGGAAGTTTGTATGGTGTTTTTTTAACTTTTCAAAAAAGTTTTTTTAAGATAACTTTTGTGATTGCTAAACACTATTTTTTTTAATTAGCTTTTTGAAAAGTTATTAAGTCGATAAATAACTCAAACACCCTCTAAAAATATTGTTAACTCCAACTTTTCTATAAAATAAGAAAATTTTACAAAAACGAGGGTGCCTCATGTACAGATGTTTGGCTAGAGGTTTAATCGAACCAAGGCAACTTGTAAGTACTCAATACCAAGATATTCAAATTCAATATCAACTCTAAAGTTATTCAAATTCAACTCGATTAAAGTCAAATTAGGCTCAACTCTAGCTATATTATCAAGCCGGACTCCATGAGCTCAACTCTAAGTATATATATTTGAGCTTTTGTTCACCTCGACTACACCCCTATGCGTGGCTTGTTATAGTTTTGTTCGGCTTAAGACATGGCATACAAACCTAATCTAATCATATCTATATAACTAACGCGCTTGTCTTAATTGGGGATGAAAGCAAACAAAATCTTGACAACAATTTAATCATAAATAGAATAGAAAATGTCATTAGATAATATTATCCTCTCCACCAAAACCAAAGAAAAAAGAATCTTGAAAATGGTCAAGTACAAAATACTCCATTGATGAGACTCTTAGACATTACCAAACCCACCACCTTTTTCCCTTCTTTGAAGCAATTGTCATCTTCAACAAAAACCTCATTTACTACTTGCAAAAGCCGCTGACTTGCAAACTGGGCACAAGTTCTTCTGAAGCAACCATTGTTTGATGCAATTTGTATGAAAATCATGCCCGCATCCCAATCCCCCAAGATCATCTCCATTTTTATATTCCTCCTATAGAAAAAATTATAAAAACAATTATACAGATTTGTTTACTCATAAGAACAATTATTTACTGATAATAACAATTTGTACCTGACATATGCAGCAAGGTTCAATGTCTGATACGGTTGCATATGTTTTATGCTTGAGACAACTAGAAATGTTTTCTTCTGTCAATCCAGTGTTCACATTGCCAATACGCTCTTCTAATGCCAATAGCTCCTGAATAATCATAAGATGTCACATATAAGCTTTTTGCTTGAATAACTATTTAAAAAAATTTCTAGATTCGAAAAAATATGTTTGGTTTTCTGTCTTAAAACAACGTTTCTATAACATATCAAAGTTTATTACTTGATTAAATGTTAAAGATCTTTACAATTAGTTGTGTGTTTAGATAAAATTTTCTGAAATGTTACAAAGACCTCAAATAAGAAATAAAACTGCAAGAGAACTTTTTAGGACCAAAATAGTAAAAATTCAGCTACACTCTAGGGCAAAATAATGTAATTTACTTTTTAATTTAAAATGGTTTGAAAATTGACGTTTCTCTTTACCTCATAGGACATGTTATCAATATCAAGCCGCATATCCCTATGCCTATCATGAATATCAGCCATCCCATAGAAGACCGATTGATCTAAAATCATAACATCCTGCAATTCAAGTACAACAAGAGAAATTTATATTAGTAACATATTTTTACCACAATTTCCTTCTAGAGTTACATGATCATATGAAATGAAAGCATTATACTTGCTTAAAACTAACCTCAAATCGCAAGCCCTCTCCCCTACGAATAAGATCCAAGACATTGCGTATCTGAAACCAAAGACACAAAAAATATTACAATCAAAATTTAACTTTAAATCTTTAGTTAAAAAGAGCAAATTATAATGCATTTGTAATTTGTTACAATGACTAGACAAGACAGGACAGGACAGAACAGAACTGATGGGACTAAACAAGCTTTTAGGGCTATTATGGTAATTATTAGTGTAAGAAGGGTATTCACGTCTTTTGAGCATATGAGAGATTTGACTTGACATTATGGGATTGGACAAAACAAAAATTACAAAAGTGATTCATTGACATCCATCTCAACCTAGTCCCAGTCCCAAATGCAGTATAAGGGTGTCATGTGTCATGTCATGTCATGCTGTACAAATAAAGGCCTAGAGAACGCACCTCTGACACTAGTCTGCCTCTTCCTTCACTTCCACCAACCACATTTCTTGCCAAATATGGAAATCCAAAAGCACCATCCACAAGTCTATCTGTCGATCTCGAATGAGGTAATACATGATGCCGATGATTATGTCCCCCCGGAACACCAACTACCGCCGGAATTCCCGATTCCGAAGTTCCAACAGCTGTCGGTGGCGGAACCCTAGAAAAAAGATTCCCGCTCCCGTTCATCCCTCCACCGCCACCAGGATCCATCGACGACAACAACGACCGGCGAAGAATCTCAGACAGTCTTCTCGAAGGGTAATGTGGAGGAGACCCGCGGTTCATTGGCAAATTCGGTATTATAGACGACGGAGGAGGAACCGGATTTGAATTTCCGGCGGTGGAATTGGAAACACCGTTTCCGCCGGAATTCAAATTCCAATTCATTGCGGTTTGTGGCGGCACAAATATTGGATGCTCGGAGATATTTGTCGGAAGTGTTCTTAAGTTATCTGAAGAGCGATTCCGATTCCACCGAGAGGATCCGGATCCGGATCCGTGTGTGTTTCTTCTCAATGCCGGGGCCCGCAACACGGGTTGACTTTCTTGACTCAATGAATTTGAATTTGAATTTGAATTTGAATTTGAATTCTCGGGTGTTATTGCTACAACAGGTGGTGATCTTAAATCTACAGAGTTGAGTCTCAAAGGAGGATTTGATGGTTGTTCTTGTTGGCGTGAATTATTGATTCGAATTCGGACATTTCTTCGAGTATTTTCAATCTCAGATCCAATATTTAATCCGAGTCTTGGAATAATTGAATCGGTTTGCAAATCATTAACAGGATTAGGGTTTTGAAACATGTTTGAAGAAGATGATTGACCGATACTTAACTCTGCTGCTTTTCTTTTACATGGTAAATGACGTAAAAGCCCCTGTCCTTGTCCTTGTGTTTGTCCTTGTCCTTCGATTTCAAAAGGGTTGGAGGAAGAACTACCTGGAAAACTTGAGGGCTTAATGGGAATAAAAGTTGATGGAGTTACATTATGAGGAATAGTTTCAAGATGTGAATTTTGCACAAATAAAGGACCATGAACATGATTATGGGTTATGTTTATATTTGCAGGAGGCCAACTGTGTTCAGATGCTTTTGGGTCAATCCGGTCTTGACTCACTGAGTTGAGGACTGAGTTTGAACTCGACTCGCCCATGCTCCACATACTTATGTTTTGGGTTTCTTGATTTGGAGGGTTTCGCATGTTCCATGAATCACTTGAACTTGAGCCATGTTCCATGGCTAAGCCTTCTGGTAAATTACCAATTGTGCCCTTTTGTCCTTGCATTGGGATTAATAACTGTTTATACAGATGGCAGGTGCCAAGAATTCTTTTAATTCAAGTTCTTGAAAACCCTGAGTAGAATCAAGATTTGTAAGTACATTGCTATTTCATGAATTTATCCTAGGAGAAAAACCAATGTAACAAAAATAAGTATCTAATGTTATTAACAACAAAAACTATATATTATCCAAGAATAACACTTTTGAAGATATAGTCACGAACTTAAACTATGTAGTTTATAAGTTATTATATTATTATAATCGAGAAAACAACTGTTTAACTTATGGGTATTCACAATTTGCACTTGTAAATGTACGAGTCTATTAAATGCTCAAGTAGTAAAGCACCAAACCATGTGTATTGGCGTACCAAAGTCAATCTTTCTGACCTAAATTAGGTGGATACATGTCATAACTTCAAGCAAAAATAAAAAAGAACAGGTGTACACCATAAAAATAATCAAACTGTGAAAGAAACAAAGAACATAATCTTTAAAATCAAACAAACACCACCCATCGAATCGGGTCAAATTGAGCATGCATCAAAACGAATGGATCTATGGGTAATCTACAATGAATACATCAAGCATTATTTCAAGAACAGTTTTATATGAATCGGGAAAAGTGTAATCGATTAAACCAGTCAAACAAGCGAAAAATGGTGTGTAGGTGATTATAAAAAGAAGAAAAGATTCAAACAAGAAGAGATAAATCTAAAAACGCATAAGGTTATCTACAAAAAGACAAATTTGAAAAAGAAAATAAAGACTTTCTGGTAAAACCCAGCATCAACACCGAAATAAAGAACAAAAAACGGATTTTCCTTAAAAATATGTGAAATTTTCAGATGAGAAGTTGGAAAAAACACAAAACTGAAATTGGGTATTGTTAAGAATCATCGATGAAAGGCGTACCTAAAGAACATACCTGAAAAAGACGGTAGAATACAGGCGATGGATCTAACGCTAAGTATAAGAAGATCTTGAAACGGTGGTTGAGAGAGTAGATGATGATGATTATGATCAAAAGGACTTCATCTTCATCAACATATCTCTTGTTTCCTTTCTATATGAACGAACAAACAAACAAACAAACAAAGAATCAACCAATCAATCAGCTTTCTGATTCTTTAAGCAAAGACTCTTTTCAAAGAAAGAACAGCGAACAAGAGAGGCTTTCGTTGAGAGAAAATCAAACACGAAATTGTGTGCTTTTGTGGGGTGAAAAATAGGGTAATCTTTAATTTACGAAATAACCCAGAGAGAGAAAGACACACAAAGTCGCAAGGCTCATAGTAGTTTCCTAAAGAAAGAGAGAGAAAGAATAGAAAAGAGAAGAGGGTGTGTGTATGTGTACCGAATACAAATGGGGTTGTGTTGCGTTGTGTTGTGTCTGTCCCTCTCTAGAAAATTAAATTGCGTCTTCCAATGCGCGCCGATGAGACCACCACTTCTGTTTCTTGTTTCTTCTTTCACCCCTTTCACATGCCCTCTATCTTTCTAATCCTTTTCACACCTCCACCTTCTAACCTCTTCTCTTTCTAACCCTTTTAGGCCTAATCTAGAATTAAATTACAATTGTTGTGGTTTTCAAAATTCAACCTACTAGTGCACAATGACAGATAATATTGATATGGATATTTAATTACTACTTAAATGTTTAACCCATTCAATACTAGTATACTACCAATAGAGTAGGGATATATCTTTTGGGTCAAAGTTGGTATTAATTGCATTCTGTCATTAATACTAATAGACAAAATTATGTGTATATTGAATTTGAGAGATTGTGAGAATAATTTGTTCCGTTTATTGTATAATCTCTAAAAGAATCACACAATAAATAGTAGGAAGGGGTATTGAATATAGCTTTTTGAACTCATTTATCGATTTATTTTACGTTAAAACCAGCTAAACGTTTGATATTTTTTATGTATTTATATGTATTTACATATAGCGTAACTCATTCCTGGCAACCAAGCTACTTCGTTGCTATGTTCTTCGAACAATGACATACACTTACACTATAACCGGATATAACCTAAACATGCACATCGCTCCTTGCTCGATGCATTTTCTTACAAAAAAAAAAACTTGTTTTCATCGATTGTAGTCACCCTTACAAGATGGACTACATGAAATAGTACACAAGAGATGTATGTTAGTTCTAGATTAGATTAAATTTGTTGTAGATGGATGTAGATACAATCGAAAAACCTCAAATTTTAAAACAATTAACGATCGAGAGTATATAAAATGGTTTCCGTAATTTATTTGAACGCACAAAATAAATAGGAATGCCTAATATGAATTGTGACTATGAACATACAATCAAACATGTCTACGATCTAAATTAAAATTCCAATTTTCATACTTAGAAATCGTTCGCGTACATTGAAAGGTGTATATGATAAAATCATTATTCGACAAATTAAAGAACTAATTCGACAAATTAAAGAACGTCAACTTGGTCTAAGGATGTCTAGTTTTATATAGGATAGAGTTCGCCATGCATACATATAAGGAAATGCTTTTTTGTATGAAATTTTATTGAAAGTAGATCCTTGGCACATCATCCATGGTAAAAATATATGTAGAGAAGATGTTGCAAACTTGAACATATAGTTGGTAACAAATGTTTAACTATTCTAGTAAACTTGTGAGACATAACAAGTAAAATGCCAAGGATAATCTAATCAAAACTTGAACAAAAAATGGTCATGACATTCTAATTAGTAATATGTCTTTCACAATCTTTTACATGTATTGTATTTACAGATCATTCATTGACCAGAATTTGCATATCTTTACAATTTGCTATTGAAACATATAGTTTAGACTTATATATTGGGAGATGATATAGGATCGAATTATTATATGTTAGTCATTATCAAGTCTTAATAATCATGTCGGGCCTAAAAAACTCTCCCTGTTTAATGATAACAACAACAAGAAAATAAGGAAATAATACCATATTAAGAATCAAAAAAATTAAGACATATTTATATGTGTAAATAATAAATTCCCCCTGAATGTAGCTGATTTATTATTCACGTACATGTATGGAGTACATAGGTTTACAGATAAGTACAACAACTAAAACAGATAAGACTTTATATTTAAACTAAGATGATAAAAGCTATCTGCTAATACCCCCCGTCAAGCTAATGGGTGGTGGTCCAACTCTTAGCTTCGATCGAAACTGCTCAAAAAGGGTTATGGGAAGACTTTTAGTGAATATATCAGCTAGCTGCAAGTGTGTAGGAGCGTGTTCTGTTTTGAGTTTTCCAGAAGCTACAAGTTCGTGAACAAAGTGATAATCAATGTTGATGTGTTTTGCCCGTTTGTGTGCAATTGGATTTTTACTAAGGAACAGAGCACTCTTGTTGTCACACAGAAGAGTTGGAACTGTAGATGGTAAAGCATGAAGTTCGCATAACAAGTGAGTTATCCAAACTATTTCTGAAGCGGTGTTCGCCATGGCTTGATATTCGGATTCACAACTTGACCTGGATACGGTAGGTTGCTTCTTAGCACTCCAGGAGACAAGGTTACCACCTAGAAAAATGGAGTAACCATATGTGGATCATCTCGTCTCTATACAACGAGCCCAGTCAACATCCGAGTAACCAATGATAGAAGAGGACTGGGGTCGACGAAAATGCAAGCCATAAGAGAGTGTGCCTTTGACATAACGAAGAATACGCTTCACCGCTTGAAAGTGATCGGTTGTGGGTGCTTGCAAAAACTGACTGACTTGATTAACAGTGAAGGAGAGATCTGGTCTTGTGATCGTGAGATACTGAAGAGCTCCTACCAAGGATCGAAATAGTGTCGGATCCGAGAATAAGTCACCTGTTTTTAGGAGGTGATCAGTGGTCGATAAGGGTGTGGTGGTAGGTTTGGAATCAAGCAATCCAGGATGAGTAAGTATGTCATGTGCATACTTAGCTTGTGTAAGAAAGAGACCAGTGTCAGTGTATGTTACTTCAAGACCAAGAAAGTAATTGAGACGTCCAAGATCATTGGTGGCAAACTCTGTGTTGATCCGATTGATGAAGTTGCGGATAATGCTAGAGTTATTCCTGGTGAGAATAATGTCATCAACATACACAAGAAGGTATAGCAAAGTGGATCCTTGTTTGAACACAAACAAGGATGTATCCGCACGACTTCATGAAAACCCAAGCGCGAGAAGAAAGGTACTTAACCTTTGAAACCAAGCTCTCGGTGCTTGCTTTAGTCCATAAAGCGCTTTTTTAAGACGACAAACATGCAAAGGATACTTTTCATCAATGAACCCGGGAGGTTGTTCCATGAACACAGTTTCAGAGAGCATGCCATTTAAAAATGCATTTTTAACATCGAGTTGATGTAATGGCCATTGTTGCATGACCGCTAGAGAGAGCACAATTCGGACTGTTGAAGCTTTAACTACGGGGCTGAATGTATGCGAAAAATCGAGTCTGGGTACCTGAGTGAATCCTTGAGCCACGAGACGTGCCTTGTATCTTTCAATTGTACCATCCGAGTGAAACTTGGTACGGAAAATCCATTTGGACCCAACAACATTAGAATGAAGGGGACGCATAACTAAGTCGCATGTGTCATTATCGCGAAGTGCTGACATTTCTTCATCCATGGCCATTAACCAATGTGGGTGTTTAGATGTTGATTTAAAACCCTTTGGAACAGTAGATGTAAACAAGGCATAAACAAGACCGGTAGTGCCTAGGGAGGACAAATCCGCAAAATGCTTGGGTTTAACAATTCCAGCTTTAACCCACGTGATCATGGGATGTGTTGAAGGAACTATAGGCTGAGAGGGAGTTGATGACCTGGAGGGAGTGGGTTGCGGTGTGGCAGGTGGTGTAGAGGAGTCGAACACTAGTGATTCTGGCAGCATAGATGGGGCAGCAGTAGCAGCAGTTTCGGCTGCTGGTGAGGGAGCTACTGGCGGACAAAGTGAGCAGCGGTGATGCAGAGTCATAGGAGAATCCTCATGAGGGCTGGAGTGGTCTGCTTGCGGTTGAGTTGGGGATGAACTGAGTGGTTCATCAAATGAAGTGAAGGCAAGTAAATTTAAATCTGATGAAGTAGAGCTGTCAGCAAATGGGAAGATGTGTTCATCAAATTGAGCATGTTTTGTTATGTAAATACGATTAGTAGTTGGATCCAAAAAACGATAACCTTTGTACCTTGTGCTATATCCAATAAATATACAAGGAATACTTCGAGGAGCAAGCTTATGTACGGCATAGTCCCTCAAACAAGGGAACACACGACAGCCGAAAACACGAAAGATGTCATAGTTAGGTGAAGTAGCAAAAAGTACTTCAAATGGACTTTTGGCCTTGTGGAGTTTTGTGGGTAACTGGTTGATAATGTAAACGGCTGATGTAAACTCATCAACCCAATAAGATGTGGAAGCGTGTGCATTAAATAATAAGGCAAGACCCGTTTCGGTGATATGTCGATGTTTGCGTTCAACCCTTCCGTTTTGTTGGGGAGTGTAAGGGCAAGAGACTTGATGATGTGTGCCATTGGCAAGAAAAGTATGTTGAACCCGATGGTTTAAAATTTCAGTGCCTCCATCACTTTGAAATGTTTTTACTTTACACGAAAACTGAGTTTGCACAAAGGTGAGGAAATTTTCAAGGGTTTGTGCAAAATCGGATTTGCGTGTGAGTGGATAAAACCACGTAAACCTGGAATGATCATCAACAAATATGACATAGTATAGATACCCATCGGTGGATGGAACTGGTGCGGGGCCCCACAAATCACAATGAATGAGATCAAGGACATGTAAAGCTCTTTTTGTATTGTCAGAAAAAGGTAATTTCTTGCTTTTGGACAATTGACAAGAGGGGAATAAATCAAGTTTAGCTAAAAGAGAAGTAATATTTAAAGAACCCAATTTTTGCAATAATGAAACAATGTCAAAAGCTACATGACCTAATCTACTATGCCATAATTCGAAAGAAGCACTAGTTCTTTTATCTCTTAAAGTGGCTAAAAACGCCTTATTTCCTTACTCAAGCGCGTAAAGACCTTCTTGACATCTACCCTTGGCGATGATTTCCTTGGTTATGCGATTCTGAATGGCAAAAAATTTATCAGACAAGAGAAAATCAGCAGGTGAGTCATGAGTTAGCTTGCTAATAGATAGGAGATTCTTTGTGAGATGAGGAACGACAAGCACATCCATTAAAGTAAGATTCTTTGAAATAATTGAGTTACCAATATGAGAGATGTCAAGAACATTACCATTGCCAGCTACAACTTGATCTTTTCCCGTGTAGGAGGAGGAAGAGTCAAGATGTGATGAAGAGTTGGTCATGTGGCTGGAGGCACCAGAATCGACATACCAGTCAGGAGTAGATGACTTGACATTGCATTGACAGTGAAATTAATGGGCTAAATTTGCATCAATAGATGCACCTTGTTGAGAATACGAGGCCAAGTCAGTACATGCAGACGCGTAGTGGCCATTTTTTTGCATAATTGGCAATGAGGGAACGTTTTCCGCACCCCCTACCGCCCGAGTAAGAACCACGCCCCTTACCACGGTTAGAGGGGCTGCCACGAGCTATTGGAGTAGATGAATTTGCGTGAGTTTGGGCAGTGAAGGCATCAACTGTTGTGGCTGGAGAACCGTGAAGAGAAGACATAAACATCTCATGGCTCTCCGCTTGAGATAGCAAATTACGAAAGGAGGGATAGACAGGGGCTGTTCGGTGAGAGGTGGAGAACGACTCAAATGTGGAGCCAAGACCATATAAGAAGTAATAAGCGTTGTCGGAGTCGTCCATTGGATGTCTAATGGCTGCCGATTGGTCACACAGTGCCTTGAGTTTTTTGCCAAATTCATTAACAGAAGAAGATCCTTTTTTTAGTTGTCTCAATCAATCACGTAGAGTCTGTAACCTCTCACGTGAGTCATGGCTGTAGGCTGCTCCAAAGCCTTCCAAATTTCACTGGCAGTAGCTAAGCTAAGAGATTCAGCCATAGCCTCCTCTGACAAGGAGGATTGTAAGATGAGAAGAGCCCGTTGATCAGCCTCATGCCAGGCTAAATAAGCCAGATTAGGAGAAGATTTACCTCCAAATATAATCGTAGTAGAAGGAGCGAGGGAGGACCCATCGATATGTCCCAGGAGATTCTAATAGGACAACAGTGGCTGAATCTGATTCTTCCAGAGAAGATAATTTGTGGAGGAGAGTTTGATGGTGAGAAGATGAAGAATTATAGACAGAGGAATGATTTCGGAAGAAGAAGCCATAGCGAAACAAGAAGATTCTGATGGAGGGAGGTAAGTGGCACCGATTAGGTTACCAGGCTGATACCATGTAAATAATAAATTCCCCCTGAATGTAGTTGATTTATTATTCACATATATATATATATATATATATATATATATATATATATATATATATATATATATATATATATATGGAGTACATAGGTTTACAGATAAGTACAACAACTAAAACAGATAAGACTTTATATTTAAACTAAGATGATAAAATCTATCTGCTAATAATACGCTTATCTTGTTTTCTAATACTTTTTACTTATTTTTGTTTTTATTAGCATAGATCTTCAAGCAACTTGTCTCTACTCCTTGTGTGCATCTTCTAGACTCATTGTAAGTCCTCAAGTTTCGACCTTTTGGCTCTTTCTTCTTAGATCTAAGTTTTGCTTCATGTTTTGGCTCATTTTGGGTTTGGATTGGTTAGATGAGATAAAGTTTGCAACTTTATAGCTCACATTGGTCACTTGGTCACCATATCTTCTGGATCTAGAAGTTTTTTGCGTTTTGGAGAATCTTGCATGAGTTTTAGGTCATTTTATCCCCATTTTAACCTAGTGGGATAAAGGACATGCATGGGTCATGCATGTCCATAAATTTTGTATTTTTTGGAACCGCTAAGGTCCCAATAAGCATTTTTGAAAGTTGGAACTGAAGGCTTAACGGATTGAGAGCTTAATCCATTAATTTGTCCTAGTGTGATAGTCATGACGTGGGGAGATGGGTGTCACGACCTGGCAATAAGGAATTTCGCGACTGTGTTGGTCAGACTCTGCCACAACATGGTGGCATGCCTGCCACAACATGGTAGTGGGTTTTGATCGGGATCAAGTTGGATAGCCACGGCATGGCCATTGGCTGGCCACGATGTGGAGGGCGATTGGAGTTGACTTTGACCGGTGACTTTTTGACATGTTTTGACTTTTAGTCAATAGGCTAGCGTTAGATGGTAGATTGAGAGTTTACCTTGTATGATTCATAGGAGGTGTGTAGCACTCGCTTTTTTAACTGTGTGAGTCGACTACGTTTGTGAGGTAAGTCTTCTCATTATAATATGTAGGATGTTAGTTATCTTTGTGACTCTTGCATGGAAGAACAAGGTTTGGCCCCTGACATTTGTATGAAAGACCATGGTTTAGCCCCTAGCAGTTGCATGGAAGACTAGGATTTGGCACCTGGAAATGGTATGGAAGACTAGGATCTGGCCCCTGGCACTTGTACAAGGAAATACCATGATTTGGCCCTAATAGATGACATTTTATGTATCATTTAGGGTAGTTTTTATTAGAATTTTGCATCATATTTTATGTTATTTCATATGCATTAGTTTAAATAATGTTCAGCTCATGTTTATCACTAGAAGTCCGGTACTGATCATGTTTTTATGTTGTTTCCAGATGTTTCGAGTGGATCGGTACTTTGGGAGCAGCTTTGGATGCATATTTTGAGCTTAATGGAGCTAAAACACTTGAGGAAGCTGGAACATGGGTTGGATTTCTGAAAATAAAGAGTTTGCATCTGAAATGCGCGTTTTATGAAAATTATGATCGCGATTTTCATAAAATGTGATCGCATTTGTGTTGCAAGGATTTGTTGGATCAAAAATCAGTCTGAAGAGTTTAGCCAAAAAAATGTGATCGTGGATTCCTAAAATGTGATCACATTTTTCCTTCAATGTCTTAAAAAGTGTTAAAAATAGCAACGTACTTCATTAAACGAAGTTTCTGGGATTTTTTCCAAAAAATGCTTTCAAAAATGTGATCACATTTTCCAAAAAAAAATATGATCACATTTTTTACTTTCTTGCTCCGGAAGTTGTTGGCTCGTATATAAAGGCTCCCTCTTTGACCAGTTTGAGCCCTAGACATTCCCAGACGACGAAAACGACTTTTGAAAACGATTTTTTTGCACTTTTTCATTACTTTCTGAAGATCTGAAGGCTATAAATCATCTCAATCATCCAATTTAGTAAGAATTAGTAGTTTAATGTCACTTTTCATTAGTTTTGATCGGATTTTAGCCATGTCTGTGTAAACCTTAGATTTCAATTCTGCATAGATTAGTATCTTTCATGTAATCAGTCGTTAGATCTGGTTTTTAATTTGTGATTCTATTTAGATTGTTCAGTTTTGTGCTTAATGAATGTTTGATTTTAGTTCTTTTTAGCCTGATCACCTAATTTCTGATTAAATCAGTCTAGTTAATAAGTTAATGGAAACCGTAATTGTTCTAATCAACTGGTAAGAAGTAACAAGTATCATATTGGTTTCGTATTGGAATATTTAAATATTGATATAAACTGAAAATTTCATATTTTTACGCTTCCGATCTTGTGAGAAGTATTGAATATTGTTGGGCATTTTACACAGATCATAATGTTGCTTTTCTGCTTTGATTAAGAGCTTGTTTAATTCAATTAGTAAAAAGTTAGGACTAACTGAAGAGTTTGTTTTGGTTAATTAACTAGGTAAATGAGAACTTGATATAGTTTATAAGTAGTTCTCGGTACCAACTTAGATAAAACACATCTTAAATAATCAGGTCGGGGTTGATTGCATGATTAAGAAAGTCGCAGCAGAACTGAATTCATTTTTATTATTGAATTTCATTTAGTTATTTTCGTTGTTGTTTAGTTTTTAATTATTAATAAAAAAACTCCCTATTTTATATTT